AAAGGTAGCTGCACTGGACCAGGTATCTTTCCGTGGCCGGTAACTACCCAAACATTTTGGCAGGAGCTGTTTCCTTACCAAAAACATTTGTAGTTTAACAGCTATAATCTTCTCAATCACCTTGCCAAAAGTATTGTGTCGGGTAGCAAGGCCACATTTAGTTACATGAGTCTGGAAAAAAGTCTGGCTCCGTCAGGGAGCGAACCTTCCGATCCGCAGGCAAGCGTCTAGCCACTATACCACAGGGACTCCCAACATTTAAACAAGGCCACAGTTAGTTACATAAACACTATATGCATGTTTCTGACATACAAACAAGGCCACAGTTAGTTACATAAACACTATATGCATGTTTCTAACATTCAAACAAGGCCACAGTTAGTTACATGAACAATATTATGCATGCTTCTGACATTCAAACAAGGCCACAGTTAATTACATGAACCATTTATGCATGCTTCTGACATTTAAACAATTCCACAGTTAGTTACATGAACAATATATGCATGTTTCTGACATTCAAACAAGGCCACAGTTAGTTACATAAACACTATATGCATGTTTCTGACATTCAAACAAGGCCACAGTTAGTTACATAAACAATATATGCATGTTTCTAACATTCAAACAAGGCCACAGTCAGTTACATGAACCATTTATGCATGCTTCTGACATTTAAACAAGGCCACAGTTAGTTACATGAACCATTTATGCATGCTTCTGACATTCAAACAAGGCCACAGTTAGTTACATAAACACTATATGCATGTTTCTGACATTTAAACAATGCCACAGTTAGTTACATAAACAATATATGCATGTTTCTGACATTCAAACAAGGCCACAGTTAGTTACATGAACCATTTATGCATGCTTCTGACATTCAAACAAGGCCACAGTTAGTTACATAAACAATATATGCATGTTTCTGACATTCAAACAAGGCCACAGTTAGTTACATAAACAATATATGCATGTTTTTGACATTCAAACAAGGCCACAGTTAGTTACATAAACACTGTATGCATGTTTCTGACATTCAAACAAGGCCACAGTTAGTTACATAAACACTGTATGCATGCTTCTGACATACAAACAAGGCCACAGTTAGTTACATAAACACTATATGCATGTTTCTGACATACAAACAAGGCCACAGTTAGTTACATAAACACTAAATGCATGTTTCTGACATTCAAACAAGGCCACAGTTAGTTACATAAACACTATATGCATGTTTCTGACATTCAAACAAGGCCACAGTTAGTTACATAAACACTATATGCATGTTTCTAACATTCAAACAAGGCCACAACAGTTAGTTACATAAACACTATATGCATGTTTCTGACATTCAAACAAGGCCACAGTTAGTTACATAAACAATATATGCATGTTTTTGACATTCAAACAAGGCCACAGTTAGTTACATAAACACTGTATGCATGTTTCTAACATTCAAACAAGGCCACAGTTAGTTACATAAACACTGTATGCATGCTTCTGACATACAAACAAGGCCACAGTTAGTTACATAAACACTATATGCATGTTTCTGACATACAAACAAGGCCACAGTTAGTTACATAAACACTATATGCATGTTTCTGACATTCAAACAAGGCCACAGTTAGTTACATAAACACTATATGCATGTTTCTGACATTCAAACAAGGCCACAGTTAGTTACATAAACACTATATGCATGTTTCTAACATTCAAACAAGGCCACAACAGTTAGTTACATAAACACTATATGCATGTTTCTGACATTCAAACAAGGCCACAGTTAGTTACATAAACACTATATGCATGTTTCTGACATTCAAACAAGGCCACAGTTAGTTACAAAAACACTATATGCATGTTTCTGACATTCAAACAAGGCCACAGTTAGTTACATAAACACTATATGCATGTTTCTGACATTCAAACAAGGCCAAAAGCAGCTCTAATGCTTTATTGAATACACAATAGTCTATACACTTGAGAAGAAAATCAGAAACTTTGTGAGTGAAAACAGCCATGTGAAACCAACTCTATAAACAATAATGCAGCAGAGAATGAACTGAGTGACATCTCTCTCAGCCTGAAACAAACTGATATCCTGGCTCATTCTTCAACCTATGACCCTGTCATCAGGTTACCATATGACTGTTGGCAAATTACCTCATTTTTTTTAATTGCCATAATTTTTCCACAAGTAAACCCCATCTATATGCAATTTATCAGTAAATAACTGCCATAAATGACTATACAGGCTTAACAAACCACTACAGCAATGTCAGTAAATTTACATTTATGAGGGAACTGGACCCAACCACAAGTGTCTGTTTTGCAGCTGATCAGGGTGAATGCCTGGAATGCTGGGTAAAATCAAGTGGAAGTTGTTACCCACTAGATCACCATTCCAACATACAAACAAAAAACTCTGCTTAAGTACATGTGAGCATACAAGCAAACACATATTCATTTCTTGAATTATTTTTCCTACACAAAAAGTGGAACTGCAATACAACACATAATGGATTTATGAGATTACAAAACGTTGGGACTGTTGCAGTTATCTAAGTTTTTCAGCACTGCCGAGTAATCTACTCTTCTCAGTCCAATGGGGTACAACAGAGCTGAACCATTACATCTGGTGGAGTCACAACTTAAGGCCAGTCTACACTTCTTTACTGTCATTCTAGAAGCAAGTACCCAACGGGGTACTTGTCCACATAGATAGCATCCACATTTCCTTTGAAGTCGGAGCATGTGTGCCTGAAAGACAGGAACCAACACTGTCCACAAATAAGAGCCACATCTGCAACATTCAAGCTATGGAATATGAACAGAACCCAGACATGGGCAAACTAGGACTTTCTACCAGAGAACAGCTGGTAAATGAAGAGGAAGAAATCAGCCCATGCCTATCTTATAAGATGTAGGTTATCTGCAACTGGAACCTGAGATGGCCATGGAAGATTTTTGTTGGGGAAATGAAAGTGCATGGCAATCAACAGACATACACACACACATAAAAGCCTTTTAGCTGTGATAAACTGAAATCAGGTTATGTGCTGGGAGTGAATCAGTGTACCAACCACAATGCCACAGCAGCTCATATGCTGACATTTAAAAAAAAATGAACTTAATTGCCAGCAACAATTAAATCCACATGCCAGCCCAATCCTTTTAAGTTCAAATCCTTACTGGAATAAAGCTATTTTTTAGACCAGTTGGCATTCTGTGGGTGACACGGTCAGCCACATGGCGCCCGCCTTTAATTCCCAGGACACTTCTACCATTTAAGGCTGGGTCCACCTGAAAGCTGAGGTCATTTCTGAGAAAAGTCCAGCTCTGTTCCGATTTGAACCCAAAACCTTCCGATCCACAGGCAAGCATCTAGCTGCCACACCACAAGGGCTCCCTATGTGTAGCTAGCAGCCAGACAAAGAGATGCAATCCTATTGACTGTGTAGGCAGTCTAGGGACAGACATCCCCCTCTTCCCCCACATGTACCTGTTGTTGAAGTTAAACATACTGAGCCACAGGCTTGACCAAACAGTGTAACTAGTTGTTTTTTTTCCCCCTAAAATTTTTTTTTAAGGAAGTCACTGCCAAATGTAGGCTGGAGTGAAATTCTTCACAAAACTTCAACTTAGTCTCAGTGCTTGTCAGCGGACAATAGTTTTATTTTCAAAACAGAGGTTATTTTTTAGCCTTTAAGTTTCCAGTCATAATTTGTCTGGCAAAATGTAAGCAACCAATAGTTTCATATTTCAAAAATGTTTCCAGCACTAAACATCATGTTTAAAAAAGCAAATCCCTGGTTAAATATATGAACTGAAATAAACAGAAATCATCATCTGTAATAATCAACAAGACTTGGTGTTTCATCTGACAAAAATATCAATGGTTACAAAATGAGCTGATGCAAGTGTCCTGTCATGTGAGAGAAATCAGACATCTATGACAGCTGGAGTTCACCACACAGATGCTATTCTCTGTCCACTGTGACATTAACCCAAGAAATCACACATCTATGACAGCTGGAGTTCACCACACAGATGCTATTCTCTGTCCACTGTGACATTAACCCAAGAAATCACACATCTATGACAGCTGGAGTTCACCACACAGATGCTATTCTCTGTCCACTGTGACATTTAAGCCCAAATGTACATCAGTGGCTCCTCACTGCATAAACAAAACAGTTTTTTTTTCCTTACACAAACTATCAGTTCTGATTTCATACACAGTGGTTGGCTGCTCAGCTGTGAGTCCTCTAAAACAGTAAAGTCCCATGCAGTGATATTGATGTCAACTGAGCTCTGAAAAGAGCATGCATCAACAGAGTGTAGTTTCTTTCCTCCTGACAAGGTAGCACATCCACAGGGACCAGAGCTCTTTTCTTCTCCCTCCTTGACTGGGTGGGATCACGTAAGGGGTGGTCCTTGTGTTTTATTCATTTCCTTTTAAACAGACTCCAGCCCAATGCAGAAGTATGAAATAATGTTTCACTCCAGACCTGGCGATTTTCATGAATTAGCAACCCCTGTCACCTGGACTAGTACAATTTCTGGCTGAGAGATAACCATACCCACTTTCAGTTCAGAAGTCAGTGGTTTCGACTCCTAGGGCTGAGCATTTTTACAAGATCTAACGGTTTCTAATATCACACCCCTGGGATCATTTGTGTCATAAAACTATAAATTCACACAAATGCATGATGAAGTCATATTGACATTTTAGATTTCTGTATAAGTTTGAATAATACCAGAACTTCACTGACCAGACATAAAACTAGGAATTTACGTTTATTTTCTCTGAGGAGTTGGCCAGTAAATGAATGGTCTGTCTATTCAGCAAATTTGTGTGAAGATACATACATAAAATGTGTAGTGGCCACGGAACATTTGGCATGTTGCCTGCTGTAGAGTGCCAAGCTAAGATGTCAAGTATACAGCTGTTGTCATTGTCCAATCAACGACAGACTGATACTTCAACTTATTTAGTCAAATATAGTAGAAAAGTCAATCAAATCAAACAGCCGGTTGACAAGAATAGCAACTGTGGTCACACAGAGCCCTATCATCACCATGAAGGAAACATCAAATGCTGACTGTGCTGGTCTCCCCTGTGCTCTTCTAGCAGCTTGTTCAGCTTCGATAGCATGATGATTTCTTGCAGCATCATTACCAGCATTGACTGCATTTTGGTGGAATCGCTGCTGGTTTGCAAATGATGAATCTCCTGCCACAGCTTCAATCCTCTGCCGGCCACTTCCAGAGCTGGCCTGCTCTGACAAAGTCTGTTCATCAGCTGCTTCACAAGGCACTCGAGCAAGTGCCGACTGCCTCTGTCGCAGTCCCTTTACAGATCCCTGTTTCAGTTTCTTCTTCAAATCGGGCATGGAGCTGCTGGTACTTCTCTCAAAATGTGACCTCTGCTCTGTGTCTGACATTTCAAGTGCCGGACTGGCAGGTTCATCATCTTCTCCAGGATCTACAGAAAGTTCAGAGTGGCTTATCTCCATTCCAGTTGATTCATTGACTGATTCCTTTCTGATTAATGACACTGAAAGATCTGTATCTGTAATCTGGCTTTTATCTTCCACAGAGCACTGATCTCCTACAGTATGATGTTTCCCATCTTGAGAATTTCTGGATGCACTATGATCTTGGGAATGATTCCCTTCTGCCATTTCCTCTGTGACATCAAAGGCACATTTCAAGGCTTCTGAAATTGTAGATACATTCACAATCTGTGATACCAGTGGTTCTAAATCTGTGGAAGTATTATGCCCATTGAGCACATCTTGTACTTCTAACTTCACACCTGACTTATTTGCTGTAGTTGTCTGAAGGAAGGCAAGTTCCGCAGACTGGGGAGATACAGCCTGTGCAGCAGTGTCTGTGCCAGCACTTGCTGGAATCTGAACATCTGAGCCCACACGTTTGACCTTGCCGAGGAGTTCATTTAGCACATGCTCTTTCAGTGGACTGTAGTTTGGGGAAACAGGATCACTACTGCCTGCCTGTGATGATATCACAGAAGCAGGCGATGGTGGAGGAATATTTGGAATCTGAGGTGCATCAGCTGAGTGTGACCGGCTTCCTCTGGTTGGGCTCTGGCTAGGTGGGGATAGTGAGCTGTTATTAACAGAAATTGGTGGAGTTTTATTCTGGTCAGTGATGTTGTGGCCAAATGTGGTTGTGGGTGGTGGGAAGGGACAGGGAAACATGCCAACACCAGGAGGTAGGGTGAAACCTGGTGGGTAAAATGATCTACTGTTGTTTGTATAATGACTTGGTGGATAAGGGAACCTTGGCATCTGAGACAGGATTCCACCTGGTGGCAACGGCAGACATGTCCAGGGGTGCATGAAGGGAGGTGGCATTGCACTATTGGAGGGGAGGATTGGAGGGCAGACCCAGGGAGAGTACAAGGTGCCTGAAACAGGAGTGCTGTCTGTTGATGGAGTTGGTTGATTCAGTGGGGCACTAGCAGCTGTAGAAGTGGGTGATGACTGATTGGAAGCATTTTCTGTGCTGGGGGTGGTGGTTGCTGCGGTACTTGCAGGGGGGCTCGATACAGCCACTTCACCACTGATCTTGCTTTCTGCCGATTTTGGTTTCTCTCCCTGATGGACAGAATGTTGAAACTGGTAAAAATTAACAGATTTAGGCAAATAAAAGGCACAACTCAAGAACATATATACAAAGACAGAGTATGGCCGGGGAAAAGAAAAGCAGACAGAGAGAGAGAAAGAGAGAGAATGTGTTACAACTTTTTTTAAACTAACACTATTATCCAGCTTCGGCCGTGTATAGATTCAAACTCATTCTTTCATCATTACAATTAATTTTTTTCATACTCCTATTTCAAATATTTCTCAGTACTTGGATATATACAATATGTTAAATCTCTTACTGATCACTGGTAATGAGCAGCAATGTTGTGGGATCCACTGATCTTGGCAGTCCCAAATAAGCTTTGCATGCCAGAAACACACATTAGTCAAATCCAAGCCTGCGACTTAGAGTGAATGCCCCTTACTGATTTTGATTGGAAAGCAAGTCCATTCAGAAGTTGCAATAATAATACTGAAAGTTGAGAAGAGCACAGCTGACCTAGAAATAACAGCCAGAATGCCATGTACAAATGTCAAGTGGCTACTATTTACCATTTAGGAGGATTTCTGACTGATAGACATACATATGTATTTTCTCTCTTACAGTGCTGACATTAAGGTTCTATATAAAATTAATGTCAGCAATTAAGTGGGCACTTCCAAAATTCCTATCACATGCAAATCTTGTTCATAAATTAAAGAGCTGATAATTTACCAACTCCACAGCTCAACCCATGACCCCAGGTATCTTACGAGAATTTGCACTTGTGAACTACAAAAACACATGACTTTCAGAGCAAGAGACAAACAGCTGACCACTTGGCACAGAGACTCTAATTTCAGACACAAACTAGCAACTTCAATCGCTGTTAGTATTAACATCACATGCAAACCTTCTTCACAAACTGGCAGCTCATTTCTCACCTGGAAACTGATCTGACTTGCAAGCTCTTTGGCCTCTTGGGAGGTCTGGCTTGATTCTGGGCTTGGCTCCAGCAATATTTCAGAAACATCACCACAAATGGGGCATTTCCAGTCACGACTCCTATGTGACCAGATTTGTCATTAACAGGTGACCAAATCCATGTGACAACAGTAAATAATTAGGTTTAAGGTGACTTTTGGTAATAAGGTTTTAACTGGCAACACATGATAAGAAAACCCAACCAAATTGGGACAGGTTAATTTGTAGAGTGCAGCAATAGAACTATTTTTATCTGGCCAAGTGGTTGAAGAGGATCTCTGGGATTTTCTCCTGTTGCATTCACACCCTTAAAGTGCCTCTTTGAGTACATCTTTCCAGCTAAAATCCCCAGGGGAAAAAAACATTTTTTTTTAAAGTAACTTGCATTTGCCAATATCTCAAGTTTTCTTTGCCAACATTGTATGTTTTAGTTCCATTGTCAACATTAGATAGTCAAGCTTCAATTAGCAATATGTGACAATCAAGGGTCAACAGTCAACCATCGATGATCAAGTTTAATTTGTCAACATTTTATGGCACAGTTTTAAAGGATCCTTTTATAATATATCAGATTTTATGTGGAATAATTTGCTGAAGGCTGGAAGTTAATAACCAATCACCTGTGGGATAATTTGCTGAAGGCTGGAGGATAATAACCAATCATGTGTGGGATAATTTGCTGAAGGCTGGAGGATAATAACCAATCATGTGTGGGATAATTTGCTAAAGGCTGGAAGTTAATAACCAGTCATGTGTGGGATAATTTGCTGAAGGCTGGAAGTTAATAACCAATCATGTGTGGGATAATTTGCTGAAGGCTGAAGGTTAATAACCAATCATGTGTGGGATAATTTGCTGAAGGCTGGAGGATAATAACCAGTCACCTGTGGGATAATTTGCTGAAGGCTGGAGGATAATAACCAATCATGTGTGGGATAATTTGCTGAAGGCTGGAGGATAATAACCAATCATGTGTGGGATAATTTGCTAAAGGCTGGAAGTTAATAACCAGTCATGTGTGGGATAATTTGCTGAAGGCTGGAAGTTAATAACCAGTCATGTGTGGTATAATTTGCTTAAGGCTGGAAGTTAATAACCAGTCATGTGTGGTATAATTTGCTTAAGGCTGGAAGTTAATAACCAATCATGTGTGGGATAATTTGCTGAAGACTGGAAGTTAATTACCAATCACCTGTGGATACTTTGATGAAGGCTGAAGGTTAATTACCAATCATCTGGTCTGTGTGAACAATCAAGGATAAAGCCCATTTGTGTCTGCATTTTAGAGCTCAGTTCCATTTAGAGTACCATCAATGCTCTGCAGACACATACATGGGTATCTGTGCAGCCAGTAACAGAGATGTCTAATGTTGACTATAAGCTGCCTCAGACACTTGTGCTACACCTTTCTGGTTAAACTGATCTTTAGTCTAAATGCTTGTAATCCACCAAACAACACTGATTTTTTCAACCAAAATTTTCACAGATTACACAAAGGATATCAGTCAATGCAAAAGCTCTACAGCACCACCAAGGAACGAGACAGATGTGTGGCAATTTCCTCCTTTGCTTGCCCAAGGACATAACTGCATTGTGCATGTTTACAGCATAGCTGGGATATCTGAGCTTTTCAGCTGATGTATCTGTCTCCAAGGCTAGCTTCCTAGAGGACTGTGTATATCCTAACTACACATTCAGTAAATAAACTTCTAGGGAAGGTTTTTCATCTGGAAATTTGTCTGAGTATGGATAAAGAAATTAACACCAGATGCAGCAGAGCAAACCAAGTATGGGAACAGCAGATAGTCCCCCAAAACCTCAGTTTAAGACAATCTTGATCAGCACAAATAAACATACACAGCATATTCAATCCCACTCTATGCTACCAGTGCCAGACATAGTCACTCACAAACCATAACATTAGTAATCACGGAAATGAGATGTCTGAGAAGAGCTGCAGAAATGAACGGGAGAGATAAAATCAGAAACTAGGCCATAAGAGAAAAAGTCGGCACGGAACCACTTCTAAATTACATATAAAGAAGCAAATCAAATGGTTTGCCTATTCAGAAGGATGCCTTGGGATGACATCCCACACAAGGCATGCTGTAACAGAGAGAGGTCATCACTAATTTGTAAGGAGGTAGGATATGGTGTATTAGTTGTAGCGACGTAAGTCAACAAGCCTTAGTAATCTGGACATTCCTTTCTAAAAACATCAAGTGCAGAGAGGTATATGCAAATTAATAACCTAGTTATATAAGTAGCATCTGATGTAATCATTGATGTGCCATATCAAAGAATGAGAGCCTTATCATACTGACATTTTAGAAGGCCATAAAAGGACACCTGTCAATCCAATTAGGATATTTTGGTGTAGACTATCCTGATGTGATCCGAACGCAATTAGAAAATCCCATGTGAGAACCCACATGGTAAACAAGTTTTAGCATTGAAGAATATTCAAGTAGTAGTTAGTGAGTACAAAACAAATACCAGGCATTCCAGCATCTCAGTATAAATAATGAGTAAGAAACCACTTGGGTAATCCTTTGGTCTACAAAACTTAGAAGAGGAGGGATAAGTAACATGGACCCTCAAAGAGAACCTTCCGTCATCAAGACTTAGAAGAAGAGGAACTAGTAATATTGACCCTCAAAAGAATCTTCAATCTTCAGACCTTGAGACTTAAAAGGGGAGGAGCCAATCACATGGAGCCTCAAAGATAGACACTAGATAAGAGACATGAAGCTAAACATCAAACTACAGGGATGACAGACAAGATACATGGATTCATGGTTAACAGAGACACATTAGATAGAAACACTACTGAGATGTTAAGAGTCGACAATTAAGCCTTTAGTACCAGACAGCACTAGAAGCCAGGTGGCAGTTACAGACACTAGAACCAGTTAACAAATTAACTAGAGATAAAGAACACAACGCGACCTACGGGTATGTAACCATAAAGCTAAAGCAGACGCCATTTAAAATATCTTGATGTTTGCGACATTAATGAAGTATAACAATAAAGGCAGTATGGAAAAGAACAGTTGTTTCCAGACATCTTATCATTCAAGCAACAGTGACGTGAGAAGCATGCAGAAAGTAAGACATCATCATCATCACCATTATCGACACGGCCATCTTTCTCCTCGTCTATATTTTTTAACTGACTCCTGTAGCAAACTAAAGACGAACCTGGGTGTGACATCAACATACACAAAGAAGACAGCTGTGCTACAATGCAACAAATGTGTAGGACTAGAGTAGAAGGTAGACCAAGAATCAGAGGGAAGGTAAAATCAGCAAAACTCTACAAAAGCACAATTAGTCTATGGTCAAGGCGGCCAGAAAAGCAATAAGCAGAACCTCATAACTCATCCTGACACAAGAAACAGTAAAAGAGCAAGTGAAGAGAGGTGACCTATTCAACCTATTTCCAAAAGTCGAGGAGCTCTTAATGTGCACACAACGTTCTGAAATTTTCAGCCTTATCTGAGATGGCTAGACAGCGACCTACTAACCCAGAATACAGGAGGAAACATCTTCATATTTTGCAAATGCAAATAACCTTCTGGCTGCAAACTGTATCAGATCTGCTTGCATTAGAAATGAACATTTGTATAATAAGGCAACTCTATCAAAAACATTATATTTAAAAGAAAACTTCCTTACTTCTTGGCCAGTGCCTTCCGTTCTTCTGGTTTGTAGTCCAGAGAGCCAATAGCTCCTCCGGGATGGGTTGGCATGAACCCTATGATAGCCAGTAATGCTGTCCGTACTGGGGAGCATAAGTGACAGTTCAAGTCTTAATCTTTTTACTATAGCAGTCAATGTTTGGATCTGACCACAACAGATCACCAACACTTCCTGTCTCTTGCCTTGGTATGACACTTTCTGAGACTGCTGTTCATACAACTCTTGATGTTATCTCCCACTTCTCTTGCTGCCTACCACATACTTGCTCACCTTCACCTTTTCTCTTCAGCATGGTTTTTATAAAAGATTTATGTCTTGTAACGTTGCCAAAATATTTCACTTATCTCTTTTGTAATCTTTTCTTAAACAACATTTTTTGGGGGGTTAAAATTCCCCGTATCTCAGAACTTATTTGACTCTTTCTCCCATGAAAGAAGCCATTTTCTTCTGTATACCCCCACTTCTCAGCATCGCGGCATATGATTCTTTCTTTCTCCCATGAAAGAAGCCATTTTCTTCTGTATACCCCCAACTCTCAGAACCTTGGTATTTGATTCTTTCTCCCATGAAAGAAGCCATTTTCTTCTGTATACCCCCACTTCTCAGAACCGCGGTTTTTGATTCTTTCTCTAATGAAAGATGCCATTTTCTGTATATATCCAGCAGCTCAAAAATATGTTCACCATCCATGTTTTAACATCACAACCCTTTAACTCAGACGATCACTGTTATTACCTATCTAAGGAAAGTCAAGACTGGTAAAACTGTAACCTACTAAGTGGTGGGAGGGTCTCTGTGGCAAACAGGTCAAGCCGTTTGCCTTGCTGCTCTGAAATGTCGTAGGTTAGTTCTACGGCTGCGTCATTCGGTTCATGAATGTAGTTTTTAAGAAGATCCCTGGAGATCATCACAGGAGCTGGGGAGTTTGTGCTTTGTGTGATGCTCTCAGCATGCGGCTACCTATTCTACGAGAGACAAAGCCATATGGGATAAAACCCAGTGCAATGAAGTCAACCCTTCTCAAATTTTTACCAACTGTACTGTACATGTATTTCTAATCTAATTTAACACTTATAATTTAAAAAAAAAAAAAAATTTGTTTCCCCTATAACTCAGTATTTTAGCGTTATGCTTTAAAAAACATACATTGTGGGGATCAACTCCAGCCATGGTGACAAAATGGTTAGTACACTTGCATACCAAGAGTGAGGATTACTGTTTTCTGACCAATGTTTTGATTATGGGGCTGACCAAGCAACTCTGAGTAGTGTCTTGGAAGGATAGGGGATGAGAAGCAAAGTGACCACTCCATCTCATACGTCATACCTAGAATATTAAAAAACCCAGTGAGGTGACAACTCCACTTTTTACATCATGGCATAGAAAATGTAAAGACCTAGTGACCGCTCCACTTTGTACATCATGGCCTAGAATATGTAAAAACTTGGTGACCACTCCACTTTGTACATTATGGCCTAGAATATGTAAAGACCTAGTGACCACTCCACCTTGTACGTCATGACCTAGAATATGTAAAAAAAAATTGGTGACCACTCCCCCTTGTACATCATGGCATAGAAAATGTAAAGACCTAGTGATCACTCCACTTTGTATGTCATGCCCAGAATATGTAAAGACCTAGTGACCAGTCCACCTAGAACGTCATGGTCGAGAATATGTAGAGACCTAGTGACCACTCCACTTTTTATGTTATGGCATAGAATATGTAAAGACCTAATGACCACTCCACTTTTTATGTTATGGCATAGAATATGTAGAGACCTAGTGACCACTCCACTTTGTAGAGACCTAGTGACCACTCCACTTTTTATGTTATGGCATAGAATATGTAAAGACCTAGTGACCACTCCACTTTTTATGTTATGGCATAGAATATGTAGAGACCTAGTGACCACTCCACTTTGTAGAGACCTAGTGACCACTCCACTTTTTATGTTATGGCATAGAATATGTAAAGACCTAGTGACCACTCCACTTTTTATGTTATGGCATAGAATATGTAGAGACCTAGTGACCACTCCACTTTTTATGTTATGGCATAGAATATGTAAAGACCTAGTGACCACTCCACTTTGTACATTATGGCCTATAATATGTAAAGATCTAGTGACCACTCCAGGCCTATAATATGTAAAGATCTAGTGACCACTCCAGGCCTATAATATGTAAAGACCTAGTGACCACTCCAGGCCTATAATATGTAAAGACCTAGTGACCACTCCAGGCCTATAATATGTAAAGATCTAGTGACCACTCCAGGCCTATAATATGTAAAGATCTAGTGACCACTCCAGGCCTATAATATGTAAAGACCTAGTGACCACTCCAGGCCTATAATATGTAAAGATCTAGTGACCACTCCAGGCCTATAATATGTAAATACCTAGTGACCACTCCAGGCCTATAATATGTAAAGATCTAGTGACCACTCCAGGCCTATAATATGTAAATACCTAGTGACCACTCCAGGCCTATAATATGTAAAGATCTAGTGACCACTCCAGGCCTATAATATGTAAATACCTAGTGACCACTCCAGGCCTAAAATATGTAAATACCTAGTGACCACTCCAGGCCTATAATATGTAAAGATCTAGTGACCACTCCACGCCTAGAATATGTATATACCTAGTGACCACTCCCCTTTGTGCATCATGGCATAGAAGAAGGCTATCAAACTGGCGGCTCACAGGCCAAATATAGCCCATGGAGGTCTGGCAAGTGACCAAAGGATCACCGCCTGCTGTATTCTATGCTGAGGCTCATTTTCAAATTGTTGGCCCCTGAGTAACAAAAGCCTGAGACTTCCCACCTCAATGGTTATCACTGTTATGGGACTACCCACACAATAATTGTGATAGAAAAAGAGACAGAACATGCATACACCAACAATTGGAAAGAACACAACTCTTAAGAGCCAAAATGTTGGAAGTCAAAACTTACTAGACCAAGATGGCTGCCAGGATTCTGGATGGTGACCAGATATACTCAAACAGATCTTCTTGTTGGTTTCAAAACGACCATTGGGCTGTGGAGCACAACAATACATCAATTTTAAATGTGTAATTTTTGCAAAAAAATTTTTTAACTTTTCTGCGACTAACCTCCTTAAATAAGTAATTGTCAGAATGCTTGTAGTGGTAGGGGTCGAATAAATACAAGATGACAACAAAGCATAAAACATGTGAGTATCACAGGGTAGACAAAATATATGAACTATGTGAGGCCTTGGACACAAGCTCATCTCATGGACATGCTGAAGTCAATCGCTGACCAATGGCACAACTAGAATCTGGCAAAGCCACATGGAGTGGAACAGAGGGGGTAGTAATAGTAGTAAAGAAAAAGTGATAGATTTGATAGTTCAGCAAGAAGTAGTGGCCACATTTTGATCCTCAAATTGACTGATGATAGATTTGACAGTTCAACAAGAAGTAGTGGCCACATTTTGATCCTCAAATCGACTGATGATAGATTTGACAGTTCAACAAGAAGTAGTGGCCACATTTTGATCCTCAAATCGACTGATGATAGATTTGACAGTTCAACAAGAAGTAGTGGCCACATTTTGATCCTCAAACCGACTGATGATAGATTTGAAAGCTCAGCAAGAAGTAGTGGCCACACTTTGATCCTCACATTGACTGATGATAGATTTGACAGTTCAACAAGAAGTAGTGGCCACATTTTGATTCTAAAATCAACTGATTATTTCAAGTGAACTAAAGTTAAAAGAACAGTGTCACTGTTTGTTGTTATCTGCAGCGTGGTGAACTAGCCTGTTCATGGACATTCAGTGGCCAGGAGAGAAATCACAGTTTAAAAACTCTACAGATTATCATGACGGAGTGTTCTGGATTAACGTGTAGTGACGAGGTCAGAGGGTCACGTATACTCACGTTTAGGCCCAAGAAAGTAAAATCCATTTAATTCTTTGCTCCGTTCACACTGATTACTACTCTTCAATATATCAGATAAATGTCTTAAAAATCAACAAAAGTTTTAAAATGTACCAGTGGCTTGTGTAAAATGGTTGTCGGCTGAAGGATTTTTAGGGAATTCCCAGGATCATACGTTTTTTTTTTCTCCAACGGGTGTCTGGGATGAAAGGGTTCAAATCAGAGGGTTGGAAGAAACCTTAAAATGTTGAAAAAAAAAAAAAAAAAAAGAGTGGAGAAAATATACCAGTGAGCAAATGAGCCTTGTACACACATTGCCCTTGTCTTACCTACCACATGCCCCCCACCCCCCAGCCTGACAGTAATCAATACAATAAGATGTGTTATCTGGATACATTTAGTCAGCAGTAGGAAATCACTGCAGGCGCCTTACAAGGTCTGGTCTACTTGTATTTCATGGGTGCTCCAGTGTGAGAAATAAAGCCAATAAATATATGGCATATTTACAGTCAGTACTCTATTTCTGAATACAATGGCCAGTTGTTAGTTGGTAGAGATGGACTCATACTCATGATAATAGTATTCATCTTTCCTACAGACAGGATTTCTCAACAACTAAAATACTTTGGCAACATAAGCTGATAAAAACAATAATATAAAATTATGAACTTTAAAACTGTATATCTAAAAGAGTTTAATGAAATGCTATGCTGAATCGAATGTGCCATCGAGAGTGAATCTTGGAATGTGGGCAAACAAATTAGGAAGAACATGAAGGCAGCAAAGATATGACATGGTTGTAAATACTGTGAACAAGCTAATTAAAATGGAACATACATGCAAAGATAAAAGGGATAGCGTTCTGTGGGCATTTTTTAAGAAGCGATACACTCGAGTTCACATGCATGCATGCATGCATGATGATAGGAAAGCCCAGTGGTAGGGAAGGCAGAAGCAGACCATAATCAATGATTTAAGGCAGTCTAAGATGGCGATATGGAGGAACATCAATGGAACTGATCTGCAATATCAAAGACTGACATTTGAGGAAAGACGAGAACATCCAGCCAACTGACAAGGCACATGGTGATGATGAATTGCCCAAAACTCACAGTTAGCCAGATGATACTGGGAGGTTTCATGGGGTAGTCCACAGGCAGGATGATCCGGCCATGATACAGCCCAGTTTGAAAGTCAGAATCCACTGGTCCCCGGATGGTAAAATGCCATTCAAACAGATTATCCTATGTGGAAAGAGTCAGGCATTACATAAAGATAATGGTGATTTCATTGTGCACACACACACACATAAGCTAACAGTTTTCTTAGGTTTCAATAGCTTAAGAGCTGTCGGCACAAGAGAAGTCCTGACATACTGATGTGGTAGAGACCTGCTTTGATCCCAATGTTGCAACATTAAGAAAGCAACGGCAAACTACTGTATTCAGCCAAGTGGCACACCACTTGTAAATATTTTGTACTGTTACTCTTAATGTTCCTGCCGCATTTACAAGAACTGACTCAATCTTTCATAGGGTCTTACATCAAACATTCAGTCATCAGCTTGCATGCACTCAGACCTGTATCTTCAGCTTGCATGCACTCATAGACAGACCTGTGTGTTTAGCTTGCATGCACTCACAGACAGACCTGTGTCTTTAGCTTGCATGCACTCATAGACAGACCTGTATCTTCAGCTTGCATATAATCATAGATAGCACTGTGTCCTCAGCTTGCATGCACTCAGAGACCTGTGTCTTCAGCTTGGATGCACTCAAAGACCTGTGTCTTCAGCTTGCATGCATTCACAGACAGACCTGTGTCTTTGGCTTGCAAGCATTATAATTATACCTCTGCCCTTAGGTAGCATGTGTTGACAAGCAGACCTGTGTCTTCAGCTTGCAATAATTCATTCACAAATACAGACCTCAAAATGCTTACTATATCCATCAGGATTATCCTACATTGTGTGATCTTGTGAATAATAATACCACACATTCATTGCCTTGCATTTGTGTATGACCCTAGCAATATATCCATGCAAGTTCTTGTAACACAGATGGGTTAATGCTTGGTATCCACTCATGCCTAATTTGTCTTATTTTAAACTTTGCAAAATACAGACAGAATCAGACACAGGATTGTTCTGCTAACTCTTTGACCAGCTAATTACTCCTTCTATTGTGGTCATCCCCACCCTCATACTTGGTGCTGCAGTCCTGAAGGTTTTACCCTGCTCTGTCCCAACCTTCCCCTTCACTGAAGCTGATAAACCCCAGCTAGATTTCTCACCACCATACACAAATCCATCAGTGTTTGTTCCGACTGGCTATTCTCACTACTAAGGTGCAAAGCAGTATGCATAAATTAGCAGAATACTTTGATAAGTAGAAATAAAAAACAAATCAACAGCAGCAGCTTTAATAACAACAACAACAACTTTACTACTTACAACTCACCTCTAGTGGTTGAGCAAAGTACTGATCTGTCGGCTCACACAATTCATGAGCTTCTCTCATCAAACGTTTCACAGCTTCAGAACAAAACAAAGGTTTGCTTCTTATTTTGCATCAATCATTTTTAACTGATTCATTACAATGAACTGCTGACAACATGCAACTGAAGAAATCATTTGAAATAAGCCCTAACTTGTCTAAATATTTTTTTCCCTGTGGGCAACGAGCTGGAGCGCTGACAATGAAATATTTTTTACCCGTGGATAATGAGCTGAAAGGCTGACAATTAAATATGTGTTTCCTGTTGGCAATAAGCTTGAGTGCTGATAATGAAATATTTGAAAGAAACAGATGATAAATATAAACATTCACTGATATCAGCACAGAACAGAGGGAATTAAAGATGTGACAGAATCACTTATGTGCAGCTGTGGTAAAACAAGCTAAACAGACTCAGGGGCGGGTGAGGGGTGACAAAAGAAACAATTGTCAGCCAAAGTCGAATCCTAGCCAGTCTTTATGTGCTGTGACTAATACCAGCCAGTCTATATGTGTGGTGAGTAATACCAGCCAGTCTGTATGTGTGGTGAGTAATACCAGCCAGTCTATATGTGCTGTGACTAATACCAGCCAGTCTATATGTGCTGTGACTAATACCAGCCAGTCTATATGTGCTGTGACTAATACCAGCCAGTCTATATGTGAGGTGACTAATACCAGCCAGCCTATATGTGCTGTGAGTAATACCAACCAGTCTATATGTGCTGTGAGTAATACCAGCCAGTCTATATGTGCAGTGACTAATACCATCCAGTCTATATGTGCTGTGACTAATACCAGATAGTGTATATGTACTGTGACTAAAACCAGCCAGTCTATATGTGCTGTGACTAAAACCAGCCAGTCTATATGTGCTGTGACTAAAACCAGCCAGTCTATATGTGCTGTGACTTATCCCAGTCAGTGTATATGTGCTATATGTGCTGTGACTAAAACCAGCCAGTCTATATGTGCTGTGACTAAAACCAGCCAGTCTATATGTGCTGTGACTTATCCCAGTCAGTGTATATGTGCTGTAGTCTAATACTATTCAGTTTATATGTGCTGTGACTAATACCAGCAGTCTATATGTGCTGTGATTAATACCAGGCAGTTTATATGTGCTGTGACTAATACCAGCCAGTCTATATGTGCTGTGACTAATACCAGCCAGTCTATATGTGCTGCGACTAATACCATCCAGTCTATATGTACTGGGACTAACACCAGCCAGTCTATATGTGCTGTGAGTAATACCAGCCAGTCTATATGTGCAGATCCAGTTAGTCTGTTTGTATGTTCATTCCCCACCACCCTGGTATGACCTGGAGAAAAGATCTGAAGTATGGGCACTACCTGTGACCTTGCAAGTGAAGCTTGCCACTATGCTCGAAGCAATCCTGTCTTCACCTTTTTCAGCATGCTTTCAGAGTCTTTTACAATTACGGGCTACCCTCAGAATAACGGTCCCAAATAATCAAGGCCGAAAATATACCCTAAAAGGGCCTCAGTCACATGTAAATTGCGGACTTCCGGCGACTTAAAATGCGGACTTTTGGCGAGAACCGCCACGAGTATCTCCATCGCCGCTCGTAGTGAGGCTATACTAGATGGCTGGGACTCATTAGCAGCAGCTACAGCTTCTCCTGCAGCTTCCTTCATTTTATTTGCTCGTGAGTCCCAGGCATATAGTTTAGCCCCACTCTGTGGAACACATAGCAGCGCGGGAGATACTCTCGGTGGTGGCAGTAGTTTCCGGAAGTCCGCAATTTACATGTGATTGGCCCTGTTAGAGTAGACTTTCGGCCCTGATAAATTGAGACCGTTATTCGGAGGATAGCCCAATTACGAAATGTGTATGTAAGTTGTTCTCTAGCCACTAGCTAGTTCTCAAATGCCAGGCTGTCCTGCACTTAAGATTTTTTGGCTCTTCTTTCAGTACAGGCCGGTAGTTGGAAAGCCGCCAATCGGCTTAGTGGGAGTTCTCTCCCTTGGCTGCATTGCAAACACGGAGCGGAAAAGTCATGAATCAAATGACATACTTACCTATCATCATAGGGTTGCGTGTACGGTTGCGCAGTCATCATACGGTGGCGTATGGTGTAGGGTTTGGGTTAGGAATAGGGTTAGCGGCGTTAGGGGTTGGGTTAGGGTTAGGGGTAGGGTTAGATGTGAAAATATTGACGTAGGAGTTCCAAATAATGGCCGACAATCTGATGCTTGTGGGAGTGGAGCCACTGGAATTCTCCCAAATATGATGGCAATAGCGCGCGGCTGGTGCCCAATCGGTGGCGAATTGTCCGTTTGAGTAGCATCCACAGTCTTTCGATTGTTTGGGTGTGTATGTGACTGTGCGCGATTATTTGGAACTCCTGCGTCAACATTGTCACATCTAACCCTAACCCTGACCCTAACCCTACCGCTACCCCTAACCCCACCCCTAACCACGCAAATTTATCGGTAATTAAGTCATACAGATTGGCAGGAGTTACATCCGTGGCAACTAATACCACTTTTAAAAAGAATATATTTACTTTAAAAAAAAACCAGATTTCCCCTAAGCGTCAAATAAACACCCAGATCTGGGGGAAACACCCAAGCATTGGCAGCCCTGTTTTCGACCTCACTGTCTTTTTTGATTCGTGACTTTTCCGCTCCGTGTTTGCAATGCAGCCAATGGAGAGAACTCCCACTAAGCATCAGCGGCTTTCCAGCTACCGGCCTGAAGTGAAATGGTTTTTCGCTATGAAAACCCAGGCACTTCTCTTCCCTCTCAATACAGAACCATCTGTGTAGATAATCAGTGCATCAGGATAAGAATTGTTTTGAATCAACTGTTATAGTTAGGCTTCCACCTCAGTGGCTCCCGCTTGCCACTCTTTGCACTCCCAACAAGTATGAATTATTAAAAGACCCAATTTCAATGACAGTATTAGTAGTATTACAGTAATTACACTGAAAATTTAAGTAGTTAGTAACCATTTTACTGAAGACCAATTGATACTTATTTCTTCCTTATTTGCATCATATATGATTGCTATTTAGTCGTTTCAAGAGTTTTCGGTAGACAGCATCTTTTGGATACTTTCCCAGACAGTTTCAGTGACAGACAACTGACAGAAACAATAAAATAACATAGAGGCGCACTTGAAAACATGGACATACCTGGACTTCTGGTGCTGTACCTCCCCTCCATGCTAAACCGCGGCTGGATTTCGAGAATGAGCACTGTGTTGTCGACGATGAGCTATTGTGTCAGTAAAATAACCTGAAGCGACTGTTGTGTCCTGCCTGCCCTGAGTAGATTGTTGTGGCAGACGTGGCCGCCCATGTTAGCCCCGGACGTTGTGATACTAAACCTTCCCCCATTGGCTACATTCCTGGAAGTCCCGCATCCGGTCCTAGCCTTTTGTCCAATCATCGTCGTCCTTTTTTCTTTTACTTTTTGACTTATTGAACCATGACCGGCTCCAGCTGACGGGCCCTGCTGCTGACGTCACCGCGTCAGGCTAACGATGCGGTAACGCAGCGGTTCTCAAACAAGATATAAACTATTTTCGACAGTGGCAAGGAAAGACAACTTAAATTTTATCTTTAAGTATCTACATGCCTTCTTCATTATTTCCCATTTTTAACTGACTTTTCTTTATTACGCGGCAGCCCTGGCATACGCTCAGGAAGAGATGTGTCGCACCACAAACTTCATAGATGTATGTGGTCTTCTTATCCAAAAACAACTGGCAGGGGGAACGGAAAGAAGAAGATTAAGATAAATGAGTTAACAAATTAAAACTATGTTCAGAGAGCTCAGTTTACCAACTGTACCCACACAGGCTAGCATGATCGTTACGGGTGCACCAGTTCTAATCTCCTTACATGTTGAACGGAATGTCTGAGCTTTGTCACGTTGTTTTGTCACCCATGAAGAGAAGCTAAATTTCTCAGGGATTATCAAATCTCAGGGGTTATCAAAATTTTCGGCTGGCATCCTGTGTGGGAAAAACCAGCAACGATAGCCAACCCAGCAAATGTTCTGAAAACTTTTAACATGAATAAGTCAAGGGAATAAATTCAGGGCCTGGGATTTCTTCATACTTGTTGCAATGTTATAAAGTTTGCGGTGGGGGTAGAATGTTAACAATATCGCCCAGTGAATTCTGTTACTACTGGCTAGTGAATACTGGGACCGGCTCAATCAATGTAGGACAGACTAGATGAGGATTGGAACAGGTTAACTGGATGTTGATACTCGGTAACTGAGTGCCGGAAGTGGCAAACTGAATGCTGGAAGTGGCAAACTGAATATTGGTTTTTCGGGACTAACTGAATACTGGGCGTGGCTAACTGAACATTGGGAGCGGCTAACTGAACATTGGGAGCGGCCAACTGAACATTGGGAGCGGCTAACTGAACGTTGGGAGTGGCTAACCCAACATTGGGAGCGGTTAAGTGAACAGTGGGAGTTGGTCTTTAAAATAGGTCTAGCCATTAATGACCAATGCGACTCAAGTCCTGGAAAATGGTCCTTAACTTTATTTACAATTGAAGCATAAACACGACCAGGTTGTAAGCCTTGTGTAGAGATTCCCGAGGCTGTGTCTTCCTGCCATGCCATTCAAATACTTTAAGAACAAAGAGGCTAATCAAAACACTGCAGAAATGTTCACACTTGCTCACCTGGGCTTTAAGTCAATTCACAAACAGTAGCCAAAAGCACAAAAGAACCTCTTTGGAAACAATAGGTGTCCTGGGGCTTGACACTCCTCTACTGAGGGAGCCTATTGGTGATTCGCTGGATGCGGTAACCAGGAGTGTCAGCACTGAATCTACCACTCTTTGTGCCTTTTTATGAAAAGGTATGCACGCGGAGATTTTTGGGACTGGTAAACATGGACACACAAACAGGATAGGGTGGGGCCGGGGAGGGTGGGGTGGGAATTTACATTTCATCTGACAAACGTTGCCAACAATCCAGCAATTGTATCTTGTACAATATAAACTAGGAGCCGCCCTGGTGTAGCGACTAGAAGCTCGCATGCGGGTCGGAAGGTCCTAAGTTCAGGTCCTGGCGGAACCGAATTTTGTTTCAAAAATGACCTTGGCCTTTGGGTCGAGCCAGCCTTAAATGGTATAAGGTGAAGACCTTGGAAGTAAAGACGGCCGGCGTGATGCTGACCACAATAAAATGTGGGAGTCAATGTGGTGTAGTCTAGACGCTCGCCTGCGGATCGGAAGGTCAAAAGTTCATGCCCTGACAGAGTAGGACGTTTTTCGAAAATGACCATGGCTCCCAGATTGAGCATGGTTTAAATGGTAAGCAGGTGAAGTCATGGGAAGCAAAGGCAGTCGTCGTGATGCTGACCACATCATTCCTCACTCCCTCCCCAGTGCCGGTTGGTCTTTAAAATAGGTCTAGCCATTAATGACCAATGCGACTCAAGTCCTGGAAAATGGTCCTTAACTTTATTTACAATTGAAGCATAAACACGACCAGGTTGTAAGCCTTGTGTAAGATTCCCGAGGCTGTGTCTTCCTGCCATGCCATTCAAATACAACAAAGAGGCTAATCAAAACACTGCAGAAATGTTCACACTTGCTCACCTGGGCTTTAAGTCAATTCACAAACAGTAGCCAAAAGCACAAAAGAACCTCTTTGGAAACAATAGGTGTCCTGGGGCTTGACACTCCTCTACTGACCTATTGGTGATTCGCTGGATGCGGTAACCAGGAGTGTCAGCACTGCATCTACCACTCTTTGTGCCTAGCCCAGGTAAGTTCATTATCCTTGAATTGATAATAACACCCAGACAGTTTCCAATCATTGTATTTAATTTCTGACGATAATGTAGAATCGTTACTTCCTTTTTGGTGGTCAGTCTTAAGGGTGTGCTTTGTAAGATTTCTTACACGACATTTCAGTCCACGACCTGCATGTGGATAGTTGTACATTTGTGAATTCATACAGTGACATTAGCTAAGATATATTCGAATTTTAATTCAAGTGAAAGAGTGAATAATAGTGTAGAGTTTCATATTGCTAGCTGCATCTTGATTCAAGGATAGTCACAACATGGAGTATGAAGGTAAAGCATATTTTCTATATTTCGAGTTTTCTCTCTTATTTTTAATTTCCCCACTCCAGGATTGAAATTTTTTAGGAATACTGTCTCATTAATAATATTAAAAACATATAAATCATAGAAACTTTGTTCAACTGTTTAACATTGTTGTACCTATGGTTAAATAAGTCTAGGTTAGTTGCGTATCCTTTACAGGCCGTTGCAGAACCAACCTCAATAGCCCCTGGCTGCTGTGGGGTTTTTTCTAAACAAATTTACGTCCAGTAGTTTGCCATTGCCTACTGGACGGTCGGCTTTCTTTATACCACTGTCGAAACCAACGCAAGGCGCATGGCTCGCAGCTGGGATCGAACCCGGCATTACGAAGCGTTCGCATCGACTTTGCTACAGAGCCGACTGGTTAACGAAGTAACCTTTTGTAATCTGACAGTTCTGACAGTTTATTCTTTGTGTGTTGTTTTATCTAAATACCAAAAGTTGACATAAAGGCTACAGTTTTGGCACATTTAAGAAAATGACGTAAAGAGTAAGACACGTTTCACATCGCAGTGATTAATTTATACAACCGGGAACAGTTTACTTACTACAGTTAACATACTATCCAAGAGAGGTAGAGATAATATAACTTTACATCTTCAAAATATAATTTTACAGAGTAGAGTAAAAGATTTTATACCCCACCAGGACATCACACAAGCGATAAACACCCGATGGCACAAGGCGCCACCATGTGGACGATGATCACCGTGGAGAGGTCCCAGAAACCGCGTTCAGCCATAAGGCCATATTCATGGCCGGACTGTCTTGCGGCCCCTGGCAAGAGCCAGGGTGGGGCTTCAAAATAACGCAAAATTGCATTATACAAGAACGGAACTAAATTAATAACGATGAGGAACTTATAAGACAGATACGTGTTTCAAAAAACTGATTGGCTATATAATTGCTAGAGTTAAACAGCATTACAAGTCAATAAGTCTGTTTCTGTTGGTCGCCGTGTGTATGTGTGTAATCGCACGATGTTTATGTATTATGCATTTTTATTAGGATTAAGTGAAACTATTATCTCCCTTACACAAAGATCAAATGCTACAATTTTGTGTGAATTACTTCCCTTCTCTATATTGACGCCTGATCCGGTGTTTTTTAGAGCCGCTTTAGGAGCTTTGAGCCACTCCTATTCTCCAAAGCACAGAAACCCATAGCTGTCTCCACGTCTATTATGGGCGTGGAGTGCACTGCCCCTGTCATATCAGAGAGGGCGTAATTTTGAATCTCAAACATTTTTTGAAAGCGTGATTTAGCAGGTGTGCCACAATCAGCTATCCCATATTTAAGTGTTGGCCTCTTATAAGGTCATCCCCTTGTGGGATGCAAATATTTCGTTATATTGAATTAGCATTCCCGTCTTTTTTGAAATGAAATTTTTAGTTATTTGAAGCCCTACTCTGGCTCTTGCCAGGGGCCGCAATATAGCGGTTTCTGGGACCTCTCCACGGTGATCCTCACCCACATGGTGGCACATTGTGTCATCGGGTGTTTATCGCTTGTGTGATGTCCTGGTGGGGTAGAAAGTCAGTCAGTCAGTTATATTGAAGCCCCACTTGGTTATTGTCAGCGGCCGCAATATAGTCCGGTCATAAATATGGCTGAACGCGGTTTCTGGGACCTCTCCACGGGTGATTCTCATCCGCATGGTGGCACTTTGTGTCATCGGGTGTTTATCGCTTGTGTGATGTCCTAGTGGGGTAAAATGTAGTACTACTACTGGCCTCTCATAGCATGTATAGATTTTTTTGAGAACAATGAGGTTGCCTCCACCCCCGTCGGCGACCCGGTCAGTATTTGGGTTCAGATTGCAACCGGTACCATTAATATTGGAACTCTGCGCTGGCTGCTGAAGGTGAGGACGGAGCGGGCATGAAAATGCCCTGAGTGCTGTGATGTCAATTCTTAACTCAGCACAGTATTCGGATGTGTCTCCTTTGATCGCATCAACATTGGAGGAATCCTTTTCAGAGTTCTTGGTGGCGTGCAATGCTAAGCCATATTATATTGCGCACATAACCTAGCCACTATTTTAACATAAAGCTACCCCTTTAGGGGATGCTGGTTAAAC